CTCTATCTATCTATCCTATCTCTATCTATCTATCCTATCTCTATCTATCTATCCTATCTATCTCTATTTATCTATCTATCTTCCATCATTCACCATTCTCTCTATCAATCCATCTCAATCTATCTATCTTCCATCATTCACTATCTCTCTCTCTCTCTATCTCTCTATCATCATCCACCATATCTCTCTCTCTCTCTATCTTCTATCTATCTATCTTCCATCATATTCTCTCTCTCTCTCATCTATCTTCCATATCTGTCTGTTTGTCTACACCATGCATACAGGTAGTCCTTGACTTATGGCCACAACTGAGCCCAACATTTCTGTGGTTAAGTGAGACATTGGTTGCGAGATTTGACTCATTTTATGACTTTTCTTGCTGCAGCTGTTAAGTGAATCACTGCAGTCGGTAAGTTAAGTAACATAATTATTAAATGAATCTGCTTCCCCACTGATTTTGCTTGTCAGGTTACAAACGGGGATCACACGACACCCCACCACCCCGGACACCGCAACTGTCCTAAATACAAGCCAGTTGCCAAGCATCTGAATTCTGATCATGAGCACGCTGCAAAAGTCGTAAGTGTGAAAAACGGCCCTAAGTCGAATTTTTTTCAATGCCATTGTAACTTTGAATGGAAATTGAGAACTATCTGTATTAGCAAGAGAGAAGGGCTGAGCCTCAAAAGGGCTGTTGTGACTAGGCTTCCCCAAAAAGCACAAAGTAGAGTCCTGTTCCTGACAAAAACCCTTTTATTAAAAGAATGTGAATTCCTCTTATTCACATTCAGCAAAGCCTGGCAAACAGTCTTTCAAAGGAGTATTTATGACCACCAACCTTATCTATCTTGGAAAGCTGGCATGTAAATATTTTTCAAATGAGGTACTGTGCAAGGAAAGCATGGGCACAGAGTCTCTGAGAGTCACAGACAGATCTCCACACTCCTGAATCTAATGAATTGTTTCCTGCAAAAGCCCACTCCCCTTTCGCTCCTCTTTTATTTCCTATGGGAGGGCCATTCACCCTCCAACTGTGATTTTATTCCCAGATCTACTCTGATTTCTTAGCTGTTCTTTTCTTCTGGCAGCTCTGTGCATGCACACACTGGGAACAGGCTCCAGCTGCTCTTCTGCCTCACTGCTGTCTAGTGCCAAAGGCAGCTGAGAACTGCCAGACGGCCTTGGCCCCACCTCTACCTCTGACGCAAAGCCCTTCTCCGATCCTTCCCCAGCCTCCAGGACTGGCTTTTGCTCCTCCCCAACCTTCTCACTGTCCGCCTCTGTTGTCAGCTCCGCTGGCCTCTGGCGAACCACAACAGGGACAAAGGTGTGTGTGTATGTAGCCACTACAAAGAATCTCGCACCCCAACTGAATTCCCATTCTAATACAGAAACAGAAAGGAGGACAGAGAGATTAGCCAGCATAGAATTTAACCCACGGCTGCCTCTTTTGCTTTGAAGTCCTTCTCCCTCTGCAAGCGATACTGCTCGATCTCGGCCTGAGCTTCTTCCTTGGCCTGCTTCAGCCGCCGATTCTTCCCTAGGTTTGAAAAAGAGAAACAAAAAAAGCAAAATGTTCAGAGGGCAAAACCAGAAAAAGAGGCTTTTCTGAGATTAATTTCAACTGCTAACGACACGTTCTGAAAGTCATCCTCTAACGAAGGAAGAAAAAAGAACAACCCCAAAAATGAAGGGTGAAAAATATCCTTGGCCATCTCTTTGTTCAATCCAGCTCGCTTTCTAGCCACCATTTGAAGTTACATAAAGGGATTTATTATTGTTTACTTAGTATCCTAGTATGATTTATGTTGATTGCCGATTTAGAATAGAATAGAATTCTTTATTGGCCAAGTGTGATTGGACACACACAAGGAATTTGTCTTTGATGCATATGCTGTGAGGGTACATAAAAGAAAAGATACATTTGTTATGAATCATAATTAATGATAGCCATAGGGTACAAATAAGCAATCAAATCATACTAGGAAACAATCATATAAGTCGTAAGGATATAAACAGTAAAGTTACAGTCATACAGCCATAAGTGGGAGGAGATGGGTGATAGGAACGATGAGAAGATTAATAGTAATAGCAATGCAAACTTAGTAAATAGTTTGACAGTGTTGAGGGAATTATTTGTTTAGCAGAGTGATTGTGTTGGGGGGGAAAATGTCATGTCTAGTTGTCTTGGTGTGCAGTGCTCTATAGCGTCGCTTTGAGGGTAGGAGTTAAAACAATTTATGACCAGGAGTAAGGGGTCTGTAGATATTTTCACAGCCCCCTTTTTGACTTCTGCAGTGTCCAGGTCTTCAATAGAAGTCGGGTTGGTTCTAATGGTTTTTTCTGCAGTTCTGATTATCCTCTGAAGTCTGTGTCTGCCTTGTTGGGTTGCAGAGCCAAATCAGAGTTATAGAGGTGCAGATGACAGACTCAATAATTCCTCTGTAGAATTTAGAATCCCATGACTATCACTGTTGTATCTTATGACTTATGATTAATATATCTTTACGATGACTATGATCATGATTTATCACTTATTGCTTGTATGTACACTGAGAGCTTCTTCACCGGAGACAAATTCCTTGTGTGCCCTATCGCACTTGGCCAATAAACAATTCTAATTCTAACATCGAAGTTCATCCTTTCCCGAAAAAGTTAGCCCCTCAGAACTGGAAACACCAAGCCTGATGCGTGGAGACAATCCAATTTTTGAACAGTCAGAGCTGGCTTAACTAAAGACTTAAAAACACAGACATTAGTCAGGATTATTTTCCTAGCAATGCATCACTTCCAGCACATGACATGACTCCACTGCTCTTGGCCAAAGTTCCTTTCTTGAAGTTATGCCAGGTGAAGGTTCTAGAGACCGCTATATTAGAAATGCATGCAAACATGAAGAGTTGAAAATACAATTTAAAGAACAGCGGTTTTCGTTAAGCTGAATTCCTAGCAGAGATATCCCAGCAAGGTACTTTGAAATACACCAACACTCCATATAACCTTCACAATTCGGTTTTAATCAAGTTAAACCGATGCACTGTAGATCTCGGGGGACTATCAATATGCTACTGACATTATGCAGACCACAGGAAGTCTGCAAAATAAAATTGGTTTTACACAAGTTATGCAACCAAATTCAAATATTATTCCGGGGAAGGAAGGCAGGATGTCTCTCCGACTCCCAATTTGCCTCCTTTCCTTGGATGGGAGCCTCCCTTAATAATGAATAACAAAAAATAAGATTTCTGCTAGGGGAGATCCTTCAAAGATTAGGTTTTGATCAAAATATTTCAGATATCATAGGAACCCTTCCTCTTGATATGCTGGCTGTCAAATTATGCGAAGCTCAACCAGCATTAAGGGGTTTGCAGCCTGACCTTTGAAAGAAAAAACTACATGGGAAGTTTACGGCTATGGCATAAAATCACATCAGGGAAATTTCCCCAATTAAAGAGGTTCTGAAAACCTTTCAAATGGGTAACTAATACCTGGAAAAATGAGAAATGAAGGAGACACTTTAGTGAGCCCATTTTTTGATTATCCTTAAGCAAACCTAGGGAAAGGTTCCCCTCGCACATATCTGCTAGCCATTCCCGAATCTAGGGGGCGGTGTTCATCTCCGTGTCAAAGCTGAAGAGCCAGTGCTGTCAGAAGATGTCTCCATGGTCATGTAGCCAGCATGACTAAATGCCAAAGGCGCATGGAATGCAGTTACCTTCCCACCAAAGGTGGTCCCTATTTTTCTACTTGCATTTTTTATGTGCTTTCGAACTGCTAGGTTGGCAGAAGCCGGGACAAGGAACGGGAGCTCCCTCCGTTACGCAGCGCTAGGGATTCGAACTGCCGACTTTTCTGATCGACAAGCTCAGCGTCTTAGCCACTGAGCCACTGCATCCCTGGTTAATAAATACATGAACTAAAAAGGCAGCCTCCAGATGAGTCAATGCTATCCCCCCCACCCCACTCCCCAGCCTGTTTTTCTCTGTAAGAAAAGACAAGTTAGGGCAAATTCCTATTATTCCGCTGTTTATTTGCACCCCCTCAAAATCAGTAAAACATAGCATTGCTCCGATCCAAAAATGCATCAATTCCTCCATTGATTCAATTTGTAGTGTGTGTAATTCAGAGCAGCTTTCCCTAATTAAAAGCCAATAAATAACACAACTGATGAGCCAAAAACTCACAAATCAATACAAAAACACAATAACCCAATTAAAATACCCCAGACCCATAAAAAGCAGGCAAGGAAAATGCATGAATCTATCCATACAGCGCCATATTTGGATCTGGTTTGTTTTAAAGTAGCCCATGGGGTTTTCTATGCTGGGGAGGATGGGAGGCGTAGTCCAACCACGCCACCACCCACCACCCAGGTACCACTATCAGGCAAAGGGAATGGGACAAAAAACCCCGAATGGATGAAACAGGCAGTGTAAGGTCTCTGGGGGAAGTCTATGGGTGGCCCTTCCCATACAGGATGATGGGATATATGGTGGGTCCAGGTATGTCCCTTTCCCTAAAGCTGGGGATGATGATATGTGGCACCCAATCCCTCCAGAATACCGCTCCCACTCAATCTGGGCTGGAAAGATTAAAGACCAACCCTTTCCCCTATGGACCGGGGACAAAGGGAGGTGTAGTCCAACCAACCTCCGCCTCCCCCCCAAAAAATCAGCACCCTGGAGAGAATTGGGACAAAACTCTTCGAATGGATGAAGCAAGTGGGAAGATTATGGGTAGCCATTCCAACACAGGATGATGTGATACGTAGTGTCTCTGGAATCCTCCCCTTCCCTAATGGCTGGGGATGATTGGATCCCTTCCGGTCTGGGCTGGAAAGACTGTGTAGACCAACCTTCTCCACTAGGGACCAGGGATGATTGGAAGTGTAGTCCAACCAACAAACCTCTCCCCCCCCCCCAACACAACCACCATGGAGAGAATTGGGACAAAACTCTCTGAATGGATGAAACAGGCGGTGCAAGAGGAGACTATGGGTGGCCGTTACTGTGCAGGATGATGGGATATGTACTGTCTCTGGAATTCCTCCTTCCCTAATGGCTGAGGATGATGGAACGCAGGGTCCCAATCCCTTCGGCACTACCACTCCCATACAAGCAGGGCTAGGAAGGCTTTGGATCACCCACACACCCCTTAAGGGCTGCGGACAATGGGAGGTGTAGTCCAACCAACCTCCCCATCCCCAAAAGACCAGCATCATGGAGAAAATTGAGACAAAACTCTCTGAATGGATGAAACAGGTAGGGAGGTTATGGGTGGCTGTTCCGACTCAGGATGATGGGATATGGTGTCTCTGGAATCCTCCCCGTCCCTAATGGCTGGGGATGATGGGACATGGGGTTCCAATCCCTTCGGGACTACTGCTCCCATGCAAGCTGGGCTGGAAATGCTGTAGACCCACCTTCTCCGCTAGGGGCCAGGGATGATGGGAAATGTAGTCCAACCATCAAAGCCACCCCTCCCAACACAGCCACCATGGAGAGAATTGGGACAAAATTCCCTTACAAGCAAGGTTACAAAACCTTTGGATCAAACCCCGCCTCCCCTTTAAGGGCTGAGGACGATGGGATGTGTAGTCCGCAGCCCCTCAGAAAGAGCCCCTGCTTTCTCCCTTCGCAGCCAGGCCACCCACTCACTCTTGCGGGCCTCGGCCACCTTCTCGGCGGCGCGCTTCTCGGCCTGAAGCAGCTGCTGGATGCCCTGAGACTGGCTAGCCATGACGGCGGCGATCCTGAGGAGAAATTACGTCCGGCGGCCCCGAAAGAGGACTCCAAAAAAAAAAAGACTCGTTGCCCCGCCAAACCCCGCCCTTTTCGGTCGTCCCCGTCGTTTCATTGGTGGGTATAGAGGAACTGACGTTAGAGGGTTTTGGAGGGCGCCGCTCTAGACCGGGAGGAATGATCCTTCCCATGTGAGAAGCGGCCCGAGTGAGAACGCGTGTTTTGCCCCTTTGGGTTTTTCAACAGCGGGAGAAGCGTTTCAAATGGATTTGGGGCTCTTTCTAGGCTTTCTTTTCACCCCGTCGTCGAACTCTATGGTTTTGCCGTCACGTGGGTCCTCTTCTCTCTCTTTTTTTTGCTCCCGCTTCCCTCAAGGCTTGAAAAGTTCCACTGCGCATGCGCGGTTTTGTCTGCCGTAAAGAACCATTTGTTTTTCGAAAGGAAGTTTTGTGTATGGAAATCAAATGCAAACGTTGATTTGTTTTGGTTTCTTCCCCCCAAAAAGCATGCACGCGCACAGGCGCGCGCGCGCGCACACACAGACACACACACACACACAAACAAACACATTGAATATACTGAATAAAGAATAAAATGAGAGACAGAAATTTATTTTTTAAAGTTTTATTACAGTTCACATTTATTACATTATTATTGTTGTTACTATCTCTTATTGAACATGAAGCTCAGTACACTGAAAAGCACGCATACACACAAACAAATATTTAAAAGAGTGAAAAATAAAATGAGACAAAATTATTTTTAAAAGTTTTATTACAGTTCACATATTTATTACATTATTATCTCTTATTCATTGAACATGAAACTCAGTCAATTGAAAACACATGCACACACACACACACACACACACACACAAATATTTAAAAGAATGAAAAGTAAAATGAGACAAAATTATTTTTAATAATTCACATAATATTTATTACATTATTATCTTATTCATTGAACAACTGAATTAAGTCAACAACTTATTCAGTCAACTGAAAACGCATGCACACACACACACACACGCACACAAATATTTAAAAGAATGAAAAATAAAATGAGAAAATTATTTTAAAAAGTGTTTTATTACAGTTCACATAATATTTATTACATTATTATCTCTTATTCATTGAACATGAAACTCAGTCAACTGAAAACGCATGCACACACACACACACACACACAAATATTTAAAAGAATGAAAAATAAAAAAACAGAAGTTTATTTTTAAAAGTGGCGTGCTGTGCTCCAAATGACGATCCGTTTGTATTCGAAAGTCCCACAAGATCTTCACCACCTCTTCGATAACTTTTTCCATGACTTTCTGAATACAGGTAAATCATATTTTTTTTACATAATGACCAGTGGATTAATTTAGCAACTCGGTCATGTCTAGCTTTGTAATCAGTTTTTATTAATAATTTTATTAATACATTTTATTAATATTGCTATTATTGTTGTTATTATCTTCATCATACTATCATTACTGTATTATCATCATTACTATAATTACTATTATTACTATTATAATTACTATTGTGATAAACAGTCCTAGTAGTAGATGGAACTACCCGAGACAGTAACTTGAAATCAACAAAGATTTCATGTTTGCAAACTGGAGTGCACAGAGAATGTGCCCAAAGATCACAGCTGAAAAGGCAATTTATCACTCACAGGAAGAAAAAAACCCCTTCCTTCCCCCTCCCTTTCTCCTGTTTAAAATATGCAGCTTGTGTATTTACTTCAAAAGCTCCCGAAAAGGCATTCACCATAGTATCCTGTTTAAGAATTAATTCTTTACTGTTTCTTTCACAGCATTTAGCATAATTTTATTTTGCCCCACAGTTGCAGTTACAGATGGCACTCCTGGTTTTTGCGCTTAATTTAGTGCCTGTAAGACCAGCTTATACTCTTTCCGGCTACATACATTTCATATTAAACGTTTTAGATTTTATGTTTAAGCAGTTTAGAAGCAATACAAACTCCATTTTGTTTTACATATAATGATTCTATTGATTATATCACGATTAAAATAGAATTTTAAAATATTGAACAATTAAGCTGTAGGCATAGCAACTGCATTGTGCTTTCCTGGTCTTTATTATGAGATACGAAATGGAAATTAAAATAACTTTCAACTCCAGCTATTTAAATTAAAGCCCAATTAAATTTACACAACTAAATTGCATTCGGAGAGCGTCAGGGACCCCGCAGTTCAACCGTGAGCTACAAACATTCCCTTCTATTGACGCGAACGCATTCTGAATTATCAACATAGCATAGTTTGCTATGCTATGTTTGCTACACTTTGCTACACTTTAATTAAGAATATAGAATAACAGAGTTGGAAGGGACCTTGGAGGTCTTCTAGTCCAACCCCCTGCTTAGGCAGTAAACCCTACACCACTTCAGACAAATGGATATCCAACATCTTCTTCAAAACTTCCAGTGTTGGAGCATTCACAACTTCTGGAGGGAAGTCGTTCCACTGATTAATTGTTCTCACCATCAGGAAATTTCTCCTTAGTTCTATGTTGCTTCTCTCCTTGTTTAGTTTCCTGTATTGAGCAATTCGTGGACCAAAATGGCCATGAATCAAGGCGAATCTACGTGTCCCAAGATAATGTTGCAGGATCCAATCTAGGTCTGTCACTGGGACCAGACTTCCAAACTTTTGTGCTGGAGCCCATCCTCAGAGAACCTCTCTCTGGCAGAGTGTGTGCTGTTCTGTGTGTGGTATTTATATAGTGCCTGGTGGTGTGCGGCTTTTTAGATGTGGATTTGGGTGTGTGGATGGATGGCTTTTAAGTCGTTGGCTGTGGTTTGGTTGTGCAGCCCAGGCCTCGCTTTCTAAGTACTTGGTAGGCTGGTGGCAAATCAGCACTCCCGTTGACTTGACGAGGGGCCTGTTTTCCAGGCTTCAATCACTTCCCTGGCTGTTTTTGTCCCATCTCGTCTGACAATCACATGTTTTCAGAAAAGCAGCAGGAAAATCTGTGTGCAGTTTTTCTTTTTTAGATATACAGGTACCCTGTTTCTCTGAAAATAAGACCTCCCCAGATAACAAGCCCAATCGATTTTTTGAGCGCATGCGCTAAAATAAGCCCTCCCTGAAAATATTGCAACACAGCAGCAGCCATGAGGTGACCACGCTTTCCGCTTCCTGCAGCTCAAAAATAATAAGACCTCCCCAAAAATAAGGCCAAGTGCTTATTTCAGGTGTCAAAAGGAAATAAGACCCTGTCTTATTTTGGGGAAAACACGGTAGTCCTTACACTTAAGGGTAGAACAAGAAGCAATGCGTGGAAACTAATCAAGGAGAGAAGCAACTTAGAAGTGAGGAGAAATTTCCTGACAGTTAAAACAATTAATCGGTGGAACAGCTTGCCTCCAGAAGTTGTGAATTCTCCAACACTGGAGCTTTTTAAGAAGATGTTGGATAACCATTTGTCTGAAACGGTATAGGGTTGGACTAGAAGACCTCCAAGGTCCCTTCCAACTCTGCTATTGTATTGTATTGTATTGTATTTAGTAACCAATGTTACAATGTCTCCCCTAGTCCTTCTTTTCATTAAAGGAGACATACCCAGTTCCTGCAACCGTTCTTCATATGTTTTAGTCTCCAGTCCCCTAATCATCGAAGTCTAATCATCAAAATCAAATATCTCAAAGATATTGGAGAATGGTACAATTATGGTTGGAGCAAATGGTGGGAGATCAAATTCTGCTCAAACCAGAAATTTTCCTCCTAGGCATAATACCAGAGGGGTATAAGAAAGATGTGCTTTATTTAGTTATCCATGTAGTGACTGCAGCGTGAATAACCTATGCGCAGCATTGGAAAAAAGAAAGTATCCCATCAGAGTTAGATATAATTAGAAAAATTTTGGCCTGTGCAGAAACAGATAGGCTCACCCTAGAATTAAAAAATAAAGGGGAGTCGGAATATTATGAAGTTTGCAACAGTTTTTATTATTGGTATAAGATAAAGTGACAAGACTGGAACAAATTGTAAATAATGTGATTGGGCAGAAGGATAGATAATGTATTAAGTAGGCTGACAGTTAATGAATGAGATTATGTGTATGTACTGTGATTGTATGGCCATAACGACTTCGCTGTGCTGCACTATTTTAAATGCAAAAACTTTTTTTAAAAAAATGTTTCATTTAGCAACTGAAATTCTGGATTCAGCGATGGTCGTAAGTGGAGGACAACCTGAAGATCCCCGAGTCCAAAAGTTCAGAAGACCAAACCTTTTGTCCTGGTAACCGACCCAGATTGGATCCTGCACCGAAATGATCCTTTTCTTCCAGCCAAGGTTCCATTTGCCCCGGTAAAAATCCCCACTTGATCTACAGCTGATTCTTGGTGACCTCTCCCCCAATAATGTCAAAAAGCTTCCTCAGTTACGCTACTCAGCCAAAAAAAAAAAGGGGGGGTGTAAGAAAGAGCTGCTAAACCTTGTGAATTTCCACTGTGGTTGGAGCCGTATTAACAGGAGGGAAACTAAATGCTTTAGCCATAAACCTCACTTACACTTTAATGGCTGTGTAAATGCTGTGTTAAGTGAAAAGCAAGCAATAGAGCATTCTAGCAGCTCAGCTGCTGCAGGAGAAGGAGAAAAATCTGCAAACGATGCTGGAGAATGACTAAAGACTAAAAAGCATAGCATAAAGGTCATTTTCCGCTGAAGTTTACAAACGACCCGTGAAGCACAAAACAGCACAAAACTCGGGGGGCTGCACCGTGTGACCCACAACATCCCCCTGGATGTTTTAAAGGTAAAGATTGGTTGGCAGCCACAAGCTTCTGCGAAAGGTTTATAACAAATGACCCTATTTACAGCCAGAGTCAAGCGTGATCGCCTTGCTAATCAGATTATACTGGGGGAGGATTTGGCACACATAGCATTGGGTTCCAAGCGTGGCTGTTTTGAAGAACATTGGAGCAAGAGGGAGAAGGGGAAACAGGAGGAAAGGAGAGATAATGAGCAGAAAGGGAGAAGGAGAAGATGAATAATGAGCAGGAAAGAAGGAGAAATAGACGAAAGAGG